TGATGCCGAAGTTTTTCCGGGGTGGGAGGTGGGCGGCGGAGTGAAACGAAGAAGAACTGAAAAAATCTTCAATTTTTGTCCCTTTTTGCAATTTTGGAAATTTTAAAATTTACAATTTGGTCCTATAAATTATAGTTATTTATAATTTGACCACTCATCAAAGAAATAATTTTTGCTTTATTTTTTATTAAGGACAATTCTGTCATTTCACGTAAGTCAACGAGCCAGTGCACACAAAGGGGCGGTGGGCTGACTAAAACACAACATAGGGGGTTATATGCTAATTTTTTTTTCTGATGGGAGTATCTCGGATACCCATCGATTATCACAGAGTTGTGCAAGAAGGGATATATAATTGAGTCTAAAATATAAGGGATGCTTTATCTAATAAGGTCAATTCAAATCACGGACGACGAGATAATTTGTTCACATCCCAAGAGGCATGGATTGAAGATCAGGTGGATGCATCCAACGAACACAAGGAGATATAGGTCCCACAAGCCAATCCATCGTCGCCCATCGAAAAAGATTCAGTGAAGATCCATGTGCCGAAACTAGAATTCACATATCTAGAGAGTCAAGCTTGTTCCAGCACAAGATTGACCGGATGACAATCGTGGAGTTCAAAATAGACTTTAGTTTGGAGCCTTATTTCGATATGCCGATGTCGTACCATCAACAAGCCTTCCAGCCGGAGCATGAGCCACCCTTCTTTCTAGGGCCAATAGATGATGCGTAGACCACAAAGTCTGATTCATATCCTAGGATTTACTAGAACATCCATTTGGTTATTTTTTTTTTCTTTTTTGTCTTTTTCCTATTCATAAAAAATTGCATTTCGATTTTTTTTGTTGATTTATAACTATTTTTATTGTTATCGCACTTAATTTGAAATACGTGTCTTCTCTATTTCGTCTAGATGTTTTCAGTGTCACGACTCGATACTATATTTAAGTTCAAGGGTGCACAAATCTCTTCATTAAGTTTATTCATTTCTGCATTTAATTAGTAATCTTTTCATCTTCATTTTGAACTATTTTTAGAGCATGCATTTTTTAGTCTAGGTGGTTGACCAATGTTCGGTAACGAGGATTGCTCGTATTTAGATTGTGGTTATAAATTCGTAAAGGATGCATATATTTTATGACTTAGTAGTAAATTGTCGTAGAACATATGTATTTTATTATGAGTTGCATGATTCTTGAGCACGGTAGTGAATGAAGAAAATTTTATACTACGTCACATTTGCTTGTAGAAGTTACTATGGGTCCCTCTGAAGCCATTTGTAATAGTAAGATGATTTGGATATTTTTTTTATCCAATGGAACCTTGAAGCCATTTATAATTTGAAAGATTTATCTCTAGAACCTTGATTAAACCATTAAGAATTGGCGTTCATTCTGTAGCTTAATGAAATAGGTAGAAAAGTGGAGAAATTCTTGATTTAATATTCCCTCCATGCTTATTGTTGATTTACGATCCTACTTTGGGAAGCAAGAGGAATGAAATATCGAAACGAGGACATAGAATTCAATATTAAAAGTCCATTAAAACAAGTTCTACTTAAATATATAAAACAAGAAAATCGTGTCGAGAGCATATGTACAATTAAATTCTTAATTATTGAAACTCTCCCGTATCGAGAAGGATAAGAAAGTCCTTACGACCGGGATAATTACTTAAAGTCCAATGAGGCCACCCCAAGTTGAGAAAAAATGTTACACTTTCCTTTTGTAAACCCTTCAATTCAACTATTGGGAAGCCGGAGATGGAATTGTTAGCCTAACTTTTCACCTATCTCTTGCCTATAACCAAAGAGCGAAAACATACAAGTTATTAAAGAGTCCCTCTGATTCCGAAAGCTTGGTGTTTTACACTAGTCAAGTAGGGGATCGTAGCATGGTGTAGATTTGCGAGATGTGAAAGTATAAACATTTCCGAATTCAATCGTGATACTCATAGATGATAGTGGTGATAATATTTGAGGTTGCTAGTGATGATGAGCACTTGAGTCATTTGAAAATTTTGAATACTTACGCAGTCTTGGGAACGAGTGGTAATGAGAGTTAGTTGGAGAACTGTAGGTGGTCAACCTGTATGAAATTCTGCATTTGTTTGTTTCCCTTTGTTTGCACCTTGCATGTTTTGTATATAAGTACACTTGTAAGCATCTAATTAAGTTAAGAATCGAGCATTTGGAAACTTTTCTATGTGCCATTTAGTTGTATTTTAGTCATTATTGCATTTAGGAGGTAGATTCATGCATATTTCATATATCCGGGATTTTGTGGCATTTTAGTTGCTAAATGGCATACGGGGTAAACGAGGTAGAGAACGGATGAGGATATACGAAATCCAATTATCATACGAGCATTTATTGATTAATTGCATACCTTAATAGCTTCTGATCGAACGGGCATAGATATAATTGAATTCAAAATTAAATTAAAACATTTAAGTAGCCTATATAAACATGTTTGGAAATTTGAAATTAAATTAACATACGATTTTGAATTGCACCAATTTACAAATAAATTATCGTAAATAAATCATCACTTAATTTCGAGAATCAAAACTTACTTTCAGAGCGTGGAATTTGGAGAGGGACTCTTTCCAACGGCATAGGGCTAACAACAGCAGCGTGTGGTGAGCGGCAGCGGCAGTGTGTAGCGAGCGGCAGCGGCGGCGCTATGGGGTGGTGGCGGTGGTGTCTTGTGGTTTTCCTCTCCAATCGAGTTTCACCCCGAACGCGCTAATCCAACAGATCTATAGCACTAGATATATAAAATGTTAGAAAATAACGAAAAATAAACTAGAGGAAAGAGAAGATAAGAACCGCGGTGGCGGCTCGGCGACGACAGTGGCGGAGCGACAGCTAGGGTGTGCAGCCGAGAAGGGGAGCGGCTAGGGTTATGATGAGTTGGTAATTCATATTTCAACTCCTCTTTGGTTATGTATGTATCCTTGGATTCTCAAGTCTTGTTGGGCTAAAGTTTGGATCGGGTCTATTAAGCTGTAAGGCCCACATCCTTTGTATACTTTCTTTTCTAATAAACGATTTATTGGAAAAATATAACAATTACATAAGTGTGATGAGCAGAAAATTCTCGTCAATACTAGTGGAATTTAAATTATCCAATTGAGTGTATATGCTAAATAGGGAAAACAAATTAAATTAAGAAACTTCACTAAATTTTTGCATAAATCTTTCTCTTTATTCACTTCAATTCGTGATCAAGAGTTACAATCATTGAAACCAATCGTATTGAACTTCAATTTTGCAAATATTAATAACTTATTCATAGCTCATTGTATTCAATGATATTTAATACACGAGAAGTATGACCCTCAATGGTTCAGGTGTATGCTAGTCGTTGGCTTAGAAATCTTTGTAATTCGAAAAAAAATTGCTCTTGTACCAACTTGTTCCAAGAATCCCAATGGAGATAAAACTCATTTTTAACTTAACTGCCCTCAAGTCGGTGAATGCCCAACGAATAAAGATTGGTTTTCAACAACTACGCGTCAAGATTCCCTAGATACAATTGAAGTGCCTGTAAGAACCATGTTAACCCCATATCATAATATGTTTGAACGTGGTTTTTGGGAATGCTAAATATCATAAGGTTTCAATTTTACTGTCTTGGTGTTAACCTATTCAGCAAGTATGCAGCAGTTATGAGTGCATGACCCTAGAGGTAAGCTGGTAACTCGGTGAAATCCAGCATCGATCAAAAAAAGTCTCTAACAAGGTTCAATTATAACGTTCAGATGCTCCATTTAATTGAAGAGTTCCAGGTGGAGTCCATTGAGAGAGAATATCATTCTCTTTGAGATAATCAATAAACTTTAAGCTTAAGTATTCACCACCATGATCGGATCGTAGTTTGTTAATACAGCAACCGAGTTGGTTTTCTACTTGATCCAAAATATTTGAACAGTTTAAAAGTATAAGACTTGTACTTCATTAAGTACACAAACCACACTTATAATATTTATCGGTAAAGGTAACAAAGTAGTTAAAAGTGACTTAAAACCACCCATTGCATTAGCACTTAGTGTACCACATACGTTTGTATGGATCAAATCAATCATACCTTCAGCACGTTGCATTTTCTCTTTAAACGGTTGTTTGGTCATTTTCCCTTAGAGACAGGATTCACAAGTTTGTAGTGAGTTCACGTTGATCAGGCGTGCCAAAGTTGTACGAGTTTTGACTTATAACTTTTTCGTTTTGCTGATATAACATTAAAACATATTTCTCTAGGATTTGGTTCATATAAGTCTTTTAATAGTTGTCCCTTACAAATCACATTTTCACTCTTTTTTATAATGCAAATCTAATCAAACTATCCATGTGGCATCAACAACATCTCTTGTTCAACTGTCCATCCTTAAATAAGTCTCACCCATCTTTAGTCTTTTGTGTCTTGTCATATGCTACAAATCAGTACATAGATGTGAGCCACAACCAATATGTAATATCCAAGGAAAGGAATTGATAGACAAGTTTACTTCTATAAAATACGTACCCTTCTCAAGAAGTTTCACGTTTAGGTAGGTCTTGCAGTTGCGGTGCACCAATGGCCCTTATTTCCATAGTGATGGCAAGCATCATCAACTTGCTTGCTGACCTTAGCATCGGATGCTCCACTAGTCTCACCCTTCTTTAACATTTTGCTCTGGTCGAACTTTTTCTTTTCCTTACTTCAGGAAAGAACCTTCTTTCCTGAATGAGCAACTATTTTTTTTAATACCGTTTTTTATAGTTGAATCGTAGTTAACCAACATTTTCAACAACTCATTCAATGGAAAATCGAGTTTATGCATGTTGAAGTTCAATATGAGCGATTCATAGGAACTAGGAAGGGACAGGATGATCAAATCCACTAAGAGCTTTGATGGGAAGGTGACGTCAAGGTTCATAGCCTTCTCAAGGAGAGTGATCATTTTCGGACCGTGTTCATGGACCAAAGCCTCTTCACGCAACTTCATAATGATTAACTCTTAGTAGTTCCGAACATCAACGCTCTAGTATCCCCACTGTACATAGTTTCAAGATGAGCCTTGATGTTAAAAGCACGAAGGTGAGATGCATACTTCCTCGCGAGCTCCAATACTATGGATGCTAGCATGTAGCACCCATGGTGGTAATCCTTGTTCCACATCTCAAACATGGTAGTCTCGATAGCAGTCGCGTTCGCAGGAAGAGCGTCGGGAGGTATTTCGTTGAAAACATAGACGCGTTTTTCAATAGTGAGCACACGTTTTAGATTACAGATGTAATCCAGGTAATTAGTGTCCGTGATTTTGTTTTGGTCCAGGATCGAACCTATAGTGTTCTTAGCCATGATTACTGACAATGTTTTAAGAAAATAATTATTAAAAATAATTCATAATTAATGATTTTAATTATATATTTTGACTTGTATTATTTAATTGTTCTCCCTCTAATTTTAACGAGTTCCACTACCCTCTAGCAGTCTAACAACAAAACGTGTTTTTCTTCAATGGGCTTTAAATCAAAAAGTGCAAATATAACCCGTAGTTAATCTAGCCCGATTACATAATCCTACAGGTAGATCTTATCGATCACATCACTATGTGACCCTAAAGAAAGTTACCTCACACTAGACAATGGCCGAAGTTCATCTTAAGAATATCAAAGTCTTTGTGTGTCAAGAAGTCAAGCCTACAAATATGAGATGTCATACATCCAACTCTACCAAACTAATGCAATCCCTAGTTAATCTAGCCGACTACATTAATTCTGTAGAATTTTATCTATAACCGTATGTTAAGTGTATATTTTTACACTTAATTATATCTTTAAATTGGACCTTTTGATGTATTTTATTGATAATTGGTGCTTAAAGTTTTGATTTATTGTGTTTCAGGCACAAATTGAAAAATTGAATAAATTCAGGGTCAAAAACTAGAATTTAGAAGAAAAGTGGAATAAATTGGAGAAGTCAACGTCACTTGTTTAGTCAATATCTCGGACGGCCGTCCAGGAAATACGCTAGGAATCTAGACGGCCGTCCGAGTCAAGAATGTTCAAGAATATGTCACATCACTTTGGACAGCCGTCCGAAATGTAGGGTAAGATGCCAGACGACCGTCCGAGAAGGCAAGACTGCGAAGTAAGGAACTTCCAATTGTACAAGGAAACTGCCTTTTCCCAAATTTTCCCACCTTATAAAAAGCAATCTCAAAAACACAATTAGGGTCCTATTTTTACGCAATTTTGAGGGCAAAGAAGCAATAACGAATGCGAAGAATTTGAAGATTCAAGCATAATTATATCTTTCATGATTCATTTTTATTTAGCTTTTAATTTAATCATGAGTATCTGAACTCTTATTTTCTAGGATTTTATTTTGATCCCTATGTGGGATTTATGAACCCTTTATATGATTTTATGCAAGTTTGAATTCCGGATTATTTCTTCTACTTGTTTTATTAAGTGTATGAAACTGGACACTTTATGTGTTTTATAGTTATTGTTGAATGGATGAATCGGAAGATCGGTTTTACATTTAGAACTACTGTAGAAGTGACTTTGTTGTATTAACATATGAATATAGTTAATATCTTAGGTAGCCATTATTGAGATTTGTGTTTCATGTTGTGTTCTAGATTTAATTGAGTAGGGATACAATAATTCAATCTTGAATATTAGAATCGTAATACACGCGGAAGTGGGTTATGATTAATTTAGCATCTTAGGTTAGTAATCTGATTTAATAACTTGCATAATTGAAGGAATTGGCGAACTAATAATCACATAAGGGGAAGAATAAAATCCTAGGCCGGTTTACTCTGTGAATCTTCGTATTCAACTGCTTTTGTGCTCAAGCTTGTTTAATTTCCTTTTTAATTGATTTATTTTTATTTAATTTTATTGATCAACTTTCGACTGTGTAGGGTGGGCTGGATCACAATTAGTAGAATATAGCGATTAGAATTAGATAATTTAATATTCTCTATGGGATCAATAACTGAACTTTTGTTCACTGTATTACTTGTTCGATACGTACAGTTGTGTGTAGGTAAAATCACTAACAAGTTTTTGGCGCCGTTGCCGGAGAATATTTTAATTATCTATTTTATTCTAACTCTAGATTTGACACTTTTCACACACCCAAAATTTAAATTCTTGTCTTTCTTTTATTTTTGTCTTAGCTACCGTTTTATGCGAAGGATACTCAATCTCGACAGAGAACTGTTTGACCCCGAGATCGAACGCATTTTTCGAGCTGCTAGAAGACTCTAACGTGAGAACAATATAATATGAGATAATCAACACAGAGACGAAGAAGGGTATTTGCTCGATGATGACGGAATTCGAATCCAAGACCAACCCCTACGGCTTCCACAAAGCCAATTGTTAGACCAAAGGGCAATTCAGGACTACATAATCTCGATTCTTGATGCATTCCAACTAAGCATCCAATATCCACCCATCGAGGCTCATAATTTTGAGATCAATCAAGGCCTCTTGATGATGTTCCAAAATAACAGGTTATTTAGTGGATTGGCAGGTGAAGATCTGCATCTTCACATTGTCAATTTTCTCGATACCTGTAACTCACATCATCAAAACGTCGTTTCCCAAGAGGCGCTGAAATTATTTCTCTTCAAACACTCCCTCCAAGGAAGAGCTCGCCAGTGGTTGATGTCCCAATTCCTCACTCTATCTCGTCATAGCCTCTACTCCTAAAACTTTTCAGAAAAGTTTACAGCTCCCCAGAGATGGATGAACGAATACAACGAGAGATTCACAATGTCGTCCATGATCAAGGAGAAGCACTATTCGAAGCATGGGAAAGATTCAAGACCCTTTTGAGGCAGTGTCCAACTCACTGAGTGGATCAATGGCAGCAAATCCACATCTTCTACCAAGGAATTAAGGAGAATGCCAGAACCATCTTAGATGCATCAACCCGAGGTAATTTTATGAGTCAATATATACCGGATGCATTTATTTTGTTGGATCATATTTCGCAGAACAGGTTTGCCAAATCAAGAAAAAGGACAATTAATGGAGCCTAGAAGGTTCCTGGGTTTTCGGTACTAGATGCAATCACATCAGCTCATTTTACAGCACATTAAAGTAAACCCAGCCAGGCCAATCCATGGATTCTTGGTGCTGTCAAATTTGCGGGGGCAATCAATACACACTCCAATGATAGCAAGAGGTGGGACCGGTCAACTACATCAACAATGCACCTCACCAATTCCAAAATCAAGGGTGGAGATCATAAGGGAAGTATGGAGGAAAGCAACAAGGCCAAGGGTACCAAACACCTCAAGATCAATTCCAAAATCAAGCCCTTCCTCAACAGAGCTATAAATGGAACAATGCACGAGGCCAAATTCAAGCTCAAACATTGATGAGGTGTTAGCCCAATTTATGACCACCACTCAAGCCTCGTTGCTCAACTTAGAGACTCAAGTGGCACAAATAGCACCGATTCAGGAGAATTGTCCTAAGAGTTGCCATCAAATATGGAGGACCCTCGAAAACAAGAGTTTGAGACTTGTGAATCTAATTATCGAGGAGAAGGAATAAATTCAAGAGAAACCGCAAGCCCCTGTAGCCGCATGTGTAGCACCGATCCCATACCCCCAAAGATTTCGTAAGAAAAAGATCGAGGCCGAAACTTGCCAAGCAGTCACCCTGAAGAACAAGAAGTAATTGGAGGAAGTCCCACTAAACAAGAAGAGAGACACGGCAATCGAGAAGCCGGTAGAGATTGTGGAAAAAAAATCAATTCAAGAAAAACCGCCAGCAAATTTATTACACGGGCCCCACTGATTCCATGTCCTCAAAAGTTTCTAAAGAAAAAGCTCGATGCCAAATACCAAAGCTTCTTGGACAAGTTGAAGGAAATTCACATCTATATCCCATCATTGAAACACTTCAAAAAATGCCAAAGTGGGTGAAATTACTCAATGACCTCGTAATAAATGGGAAGAAATTATTCAAAATATGAAAGACCGCAGCCACAAGTTGGCTTGTTGGTCACCTACTCTAACAATCTTATGCCTTATTCTACTTATAAATGTCTTGGGTTAGGCGAGATTGAACCGACGGCTATAACTCTTCAAGAGCCGATAGGTCTTTAGTTTACCCAAAGGGTATTTTAGATGATGTGCTAGTCAAAGTAGATAAATTTATCTTCCCTGTTGATTTTGTGATACTTGATATAGATGAGGATAGGGAGTTACCTCTTATTGTGGGAAGACCGTTTTTACCTACGTCGAGAATTCTAATTGATTGTGCTAGTGGTGATTTTACTATGACGGTGCATGATCAAACAATCAAATTTAATGTCTTTAGTGAAAATAAAATTCATGTGAAAACAATGATTGTTTTGCTATTGATTTACAAATCTAGAATTTTTTGGTGTTTTGATCTTCGACCCATGAGAAAAATCTTTGAGTGCAGGAGACAGTGGCGGAAACGACAGTAAGAATGAACATGTTTGCTTTATAGACTCAACCAAAAATTCTCCAAAAGATAGTCCTGAGATAGTTTGGGAGTTGACGGCAAAGATAGTACGAAAAAATGGATGTTGCCACCGAAAGAGCCAAACAAGCCACGAGTGAAGGCCTATGCAAGTTATTGGGGTCATAAGGAGAGAATCAAACGTAAATTTCACAAAGGACAATTGTTGTCATTGTGCAAATCCCCTTTTTTGGTTATTCCCAAGAAAGTTCAAATCAATGTGGTTGGAGCCGTTCATTGTCCAAGAAGTTCTTCCAGATGGAGCAATCGAGATAAAGGACCATGACTCAGATCGCACATTCAAATTGAAAGGGAGCCGGCTCAAGCCTTATTGGGGAGATAGTAAAGATTGCCAAGTGACTTCGGTCACTTCAGCTTGAAATAAAAAAAGCAACGTCCGGCAGAAGACCTTAAACTTAGCGCTTCTCGGGAGGCAACCAGAGCTTTATGATTTTCGTATTTGTTTTCTTAATTTTATTTTTATGATTTTTCATAGGCATGCATTGTAACGATTTTAATTGACTTTCAATTTTTAGGGTCGAAATTGCGATTAGAGGATCCAGACAACCCTCCAAAAATCCAAGCAGAAACTCAGACGGTCGTCCAATTCTCTTCAAATCCTTCTCATCATGTCTTCCAACAGAGAGGCCTCACAGGCGAACCATCCACCTCGAACAAAGGGAAGGGAAATAATGGATCCACCAAGGCGACGTTGGTTCCCCAACCCGATATTGAGACATTTAGTGTTGAAGGAGATGCAACCCTATTCGACAAACAAACAAAGAAGACGGCAATCACGAAACGAGCCCTAACGATCACAGTATAACACTTTGCCAA